AGCTTCCCAGACTGCAGAACTAGAGTCACAGCTGCTGTGAGCCCAGGCTTCAAGCTGCCAGGATCATGGTGCTGTAGCCTCTTGTGTGAGTGCACCAGGACAAGTGCAGTGTCTTAAGGCTGGGCAAGCACCTGTGGCTACTGGCCACAGGGCAGGGCATGCTCCAGCAGTGGCTCTGGTTTCAAGATGGCACCTGTCCTGAATTGGCTTGGGTCATGAGGGTGGGGGTGGGGAGCACACAGTTCGTGCTAGTGTTCTAGAGCGATGCAGTGTGTGTTTTCTAGGCTGCTCCACACACTTGGCTCTGGGCTTGTCCTGTGAAAGGATCTGTGGGCCTCTGCGGTGAGGATGGGGGTTGGTCTGGGTCCTCTGCCTAACTTTTTGCTGCAAGGGAATATTCCTCCTGCAGCAGTCAAGTGTCGGAGATGTGGTGGCTGAGACTGTGTGCCTCTCTCTCCTCTTTGTGGCACTATCCTGGGGTTTCGTACTCCACAGGGATCTCACCAGTCAGTCTCCTGCTGCATCCCTGTGCTCTCCCACTGATGCTCCCTTCAGTATTTAGCTGTGTGTTCATTGTTCTGGTCCTTTTCTGTGGGGGGGATGTGCCCTGGGCACCTCTGGTATGCCATCTTGCCTTGCATCCCTGATGCTCTCCTTCTTTGAATCTTTGCTTTCTAGGATTTCCTTTTCACTTCCTGATGGCAGTGGTTGCCCAAACTCGATCCTCTGGTTCTTCAGACCAGAAAGACTGGAGGTTTTCTTTTGGAGTTCTAACTGCCCTATATGGTGCAGGCTGTGGCATGCCCTCGGGCTAGGTGCCATGGAAAGGGGAAACTCAGCCAGTGCAGTTTCTTTCTTCCAAGTGTTGACTCCTCTCCAGAACCTGCCTTTACGTAGCTACCTTCAGGTAGCTGTTTCCTACATGTTGTCCAGAGCTTTTAATTGTCACCTGTGAGAGGATTGAGCGGATCCAATAGGCATTTACTCAGCCGTTGCCAGAAACAGAACCCAGTGCTCAATATTTCTAAATAAAATTAAAATATAACATGTTTTGTATAAGTAAGGTTTTTCTATAAATGGGATATCGTAACAGTTACGCACAATGATTTCACAAAAATGTTTTAAAACTTATTAAACATTTTAGAGAAAGGCGTTTTAAAATGCCACAATTTAGATATAATTTTTTACTTATTCTTCAGCCATTTTTATTCAAAGCTTAGTCTAACCTTGTTCTCCAAGTGTGCGTATAACTAATTCACTGTGAAGACATTCACGGTTTCTAGGGCTTGTTTTTCTGTCTTGAGATATCTATCCAGTTTTTATTTTAGCTAATATTATTGGCCTCCTATGTGTCAAGCACAGTGTTAGTGTGTAATATATAATGCTTTAGATAATCCTCATAACAACCATATATGGTAGTTATCATTATTCCCAGTTTTCAGGTGGGGAAACTGAGACTGAAGGAGATCAAATAGCTCCTCCAAGGTCACACATCTGAACTGAGATTGTAATGGTGATCTACCTGATTACAGTGCCCATTATCTTTCAGTTACACCACAATAGTCAAATCCATCAAATGCATCTTCCGTTCAATCATTGAACTCTCTTTACTTGGAAAATCTTTGTCAACTAAGAAGAGTAATCACTTTTTAAAAACTTCCTAGCTTTTCTTATCAGATAAATGCCTGCCTTATTTGCTTTCCTCTACTTTCAGGTCTCTCTTTCTTCATACCAAAGCAGAAAAAAAAATTATACAATGATATGATGGCATTGCTTTGTGCAAAAGTATAGAAATAGTCTTATTCTAATCAAAAGAAGGTTGCACAGCCATTTTGCTAATTTGCAATAGACTTTTCCTGTTGCCTTCCTGCTATTGGGCTTAGAATACAATGTCACCTAACATAAATAGTAAACACTAGATCCTACGTGTGACCTTGGGCAAATCACAAGGCCTTATTGTTATTTTCCTTGTCTATAAGGTAAGACAATAATGGCTGTACTACTTACCTCACAGAGTTATCACATAGAGGCTCAATGAGGTAGTGAAAATGGAAACATTTCTGAACTGTAAATTTTTATTTGAGGCCAAGGGATTACAATTATGACCTATAAAAGTTGGCATTATAGACATGCATACACAGGAATTAGATCTTTTTTTTCTGCTGTCTGGTATAAACAATGAGTTAAAGTATTAGGGAGACCTGATTTCAAAATCCCTTTGCTACTTATAAGCTCTTTGGCAGCTTTAAGCTCTCTGAGTTGCCTTACATGTGAAAGGGGGTTAGTAACACCTTCCCTTCTGGGATGATGAAAGGAGTAAGTGAAATAATATTTGTGCAAGTGCCTAACATAGCACTAGAGGTTTCTGGACATGACAGTGGATGTCAAGGTCCTGGTGAAGAGTATGCTTCCCTCTGGGCATCTCTACTCGAAGCCTGGGAGGAAGGACTATTATATTCTTTCACTTGATTCTCATGGTAGCCCTGTGAGATCAGTAGAGCAGGTGTTATTATGCTCATTTTATGGATGAGACAACTAAGAATATTGGCTCTGATTGTGCCATGTCCTGTATCTAACACTAATGAATACTGCCTGGTGTCCAAAAAGGTCACCATTGCGTTTTTATTTCTCTTTGGAAAGAATACCTTTGGAAGTATATTAAAGCTAAGCATACATATACCTTCTGACCCAGAAATTCCATTCTTAAGTTTATGTCAAACAGAAGTGACTGCATATTCTCCAAAAGACGTGTAGTTGCATGTTTACAGGAGCGCGGTTTGTAGTAGTCCCAAGCTGGAAACTACTCAAATGTCCATCAGCAGTGGGATGGATAAATAAATTGTAGTGTGGCCACACAATCCAATTCTATACAGCACCAAGGATGGATAAACTGCTGCTAAGCAATGATCAATCTCCTAAACATAATGCTAAATGAAAGAAGCAAGAAACAAAGGAGTGCATACCATATGATTCTACTTATATAAACAGGCAAGATCTTTGGTGACAGAAGTCAGGATGATAGTTACCCTTGGGTCGAGGAAAGGATGTGACTGGAAAGGGGCACGAGGGAGGGCTCTGGGGTACTGGTAATGTTCTATTTATTGACATGGGTGTTAGTGATGTGGATGTGATCACATCATGAAAGTTTATGAACCTTATGATTTCATACTTTTCTGTATGCATAGTATATTTCAGTAACAAAAGTTAACTTGCCTTAAGCAAAACAGAAACCCCTTATCTTAGCCAGGGCTTTTCAGTGGCTTCCCATGGTACACAGAATACAATCCAAAGTCCTTACTATGGCTTGCCTGGTTATACATGATCTGGCCCTTGGCTCTGTCCTGCACATCATTTCTTCCACGGTTACTCCCCTTGCTTACTCAGCTCCAGCCACATGGCCTCCTTGCTGTTCTCCAAACATAATAAAACTCCTTTCTGACCCAAGATGTTGTACGTGCTGTTCCCTCTGCCTGGACCACTCTTCCCTCAGCTTGTCACATTGCTGGCTTATCATACAGGTACCAGTTCAAATGTCACCTTTTCAAAAAGTCCTGCACTCAACACTCCGTCTGAAATAGATTTCCCTGTTTATCACATAACACTATTTTTTCTTCACAACATCTGTAGAACTAGCAGAAATTATCTTGTTTATTACTTTATCATCTGTCTTCCTCGATAGCGTGTAAACTCCTTGAAGGCTGGGATCGTGTCTACTATGTTCATCATTGTATCCTTAATGCCTGACACATTGCCTAGCACATAGCAGGTGCTCATATAAATGTTAGGGCTAGAGGGATGAATGAGGATCCCTGGGTGAAGTGTCCATTAGGCTGTATCTGGGTTTTGTCCCACAAAGGGAGACACTTAAGAAGTTATATGTGATCCTGTCAAAAAGAAAGCTTAGTTAGCACCACTTCTTTTGCACCTCAGCTTGCTGAGGAGAAAACTCTGATCTTTCCCCAAGGGCTTCCATAAACTTTGGCCAATAAGGACTTGCTCCATGGAATGTGCTTTAGATAAAACATCCTATCCTAAGACGGGAGAAAGCAGCTGGAACTTAACCCATACCCCTCACCCCCTATTCTCCAAAGAAAAATGAAATATGATCAACAGGCAGTGGGGCCCTCTCTCTGATACTATGTTCCTGAGACAATGTTGACTTATTGTCACTTCATCTCTGGTACAAGTAGTGAACACAGGGAAGGCCTTATATAAAATTGTTTGATAAACAACAGATGTCTTTATAAAAAAGAATGAAATTCTGCCCTTTGCAGCAACACGGGTGAGCTTGGAGAAAATTATGTTAAGTGAAATAAGCCAGGCAGAGAGACAGAAATACCACATGTCCTCATTCACATGTGGAACCTAAAAATGTTCATCTCCTGGAAGTAGAGAGTAGAATAGTGGTGACTAGACACTGGTGGGGGGAAGGAGGAAGGGAGGATGTGGAGAGGGTGGTCCATGAAGACAAAATAGTAGAGATACAGGAGGAATGGGGTCTAGGGTTCTGTAGCAATACAGGGAGACTGCAGTTAACAATAAAGTACTGTGTATCTGTGAATAGCTAGTCGAGATGATGTTGAATGTTCCTTACACAAAGAAGTGACAAATGTTTGAGGGGATGGATGTAGTAAGTATTCTGATGTGATCATCACACACAGGATGAACATACCCAATATCATATTCTACTCCGTGAATATACACAATATCATGGGCCGATGAAGAAAACTAAATTAAAAACAAACAAACAAATAACAACTGATATCTTTAACATGTGTTTGAGATCTTTCTTTCTCACAATTCTATGTCAGGTACAACAACTATGACCGGGCTGTCATCAATACCGTACCTTACGATGTCGTCCATCGTTGGTATACAGCACACCGGACCCTAACAATAGAGTTGCGGAGACCTGAGAATGAGTTTTGGGTCAAACTAAAGCCTGGCACGGTGGGTCCCAAACTCCAAAGATGTCAAGTAAGGTCATTCTACTGAAGCAGTGAAGAATGGGTAGTTATTTAATATGAGTCATAATGTTGCAAAGGAAAATGAGAAAAGAGTCCTGGGTGTTGGCCCTGGTCCTGCCACTCACTCACTGAATGACCTGGAAGCAGCTCTGCTCTTGTCTCTAGGCATCAGTGACTCTATTTGTATGATGAGGGGCTTTAACTAGATGATCTCTAAGAGTCCGTCTGGCTTCATGATTCCATTTTTGCTTTTAATCTTGATATTCCATGTTGATGAAGAATATCTTCAGCTAAGCAAAGAACATAATGAAATAGTTTAACCCTTTGAGAAAGTATAGCATAAGAATTAAAGGGAAAAAGAAAGAAACCAATTATCTGATTTGCTTTGATGAGAAGAGAACAATTAGTCAAGAAACGTAAGTCCCCCAGTGCAGGGCCTGTCACCTACTATTGCCTTTGTAACTTCCATTTAGCCTACTACAGGGCTGTGCCCGTCCTACTTTCCAAAAGTCTGTTTAATTTCAAAAGATAAATACCTCATTGAATGTAAGCAGAGAACAAACCTAAAGCTTTTCTTTTAAATGATCTCTTCTGATTTAGGGTTCCTCTGCTCTGCCCTTGTTGTGATGGTGTTTTCTCTCTCTTTTTGCCCATTCACAGGTCCTATTTATAGACAACTGGCGTGTCCTCCATGGCCGGGAATCCTTCACTGGCTACCGCCAGCTCTGTGGCTGCTATTTAACAAGAGATGATGTATTAAACACTGCTCGTCTCTTGGGGCTTCAGGCTTAAAATTGACAGCATCGACAATATGAATACACCTGACACCCTGGCTACCAGAATTGTATATCGGCATAAAAATATTGGGTCAAAACCTACTTCAAATTGTTTCCTTACCCCATCCCACAAAACGCCCCTTTCTCTTCTAGAGGAAGCCTGTTAGAGAGGAGGGCTTCTGAATTATCAGATGTCAGCCATCCAGTGTGGTAGCTCTCTTCCCCAATTTGTAACAAGGGTCCACTTGTTTTTCAAGCCTTTTGATATAATTTTGGTCCATGTACTTCAGAAATACAATCTCCATACTGATAGAAAAGCAGTAATAGTCACTAGGTAAAAATTGATTCCAACTAGATCAGTTAAAAAGAAATGCATTCTAGAAATATCAAAATCTTGATAAAGCAGCAATTTGCAAAATTTTTGGTCCGAGGATGCATTAACACTCTTAAAATTTATTGAGGGCCCCAAAGAGTTCTTGGGTGTGGGTTATACCTATTGCTATTAATTATATCAAATATTAAGACTGAGAAATGTTTAAAACTCAAGAACACAGAAGCACACATCCCTCAGTTATCAGTGAGATGATATCGCATACCACGTAGTCTCTGGAAGAGTCCTCTGTATACTCATGAGATAATGAGAGTGAAAAGCAAATATCATTCCAGTTTTATTACAAAAATAGATTTTAGCCCACAGACCCACTAAATGGGACTCAGGTACCCTTCCAGGTGTCTTCAGATTATACTTGAGAACCAATGAGCTAGAGGTTACCTTAAGACAGTCTTTTATATAGGCCTGTGGGTTAAAGGGTTTAGCTGAAACCCTGGATTTTTCTCTATAGTCTCCTAGAACTTCAGACACTGTAGGAATTGCTTGATAGCACAAGCTCGGTGTTAAGATGGAAACTGAATTCAAATATAGTGTTTTATCTTTTGAGAAGGGTTATCTCCATCCAAATCATCTCTCACGGAGTTAAACTATGAAGTCACAACAGCTCCTGTGGAACAAGCCCATCAGTTTGATAATGCTGTGAGGGAGGGATGATTGCAGAAAGTTTTTAGAGACTTCTGAGATTCCATATGATAATTTTTTACACACACACACAAACACACAGAGAGAGACACAGAGAGAGACTATGAAGGGCTATTCTGGACGATTGTTCAGGAACTCATCATGATATTTTTATAATTTGAAGGCATTTAGGATGTAATCTGTTTTCCTCTATTTCAGCTGATCTTTTTTCTTTTTTTCCCCCTCTCTTAAAATATTATGCATGTTAATTGACAAGATTTGACTGCATCAGTTTAATACCTTGCTTCCTTTATATTTTAAATGGCTTCTCTTCTGGGCGAAGAGAGAGAGAGACAGAGACAGAGACAGAGACAGAGATGAGGCTTCTTTCTTCCCTGGCTTCCATTGAATGTGAAGCTGTACAATAACCACACGGACCACTGCAGAGTGACGAAGGAGAATCTAGGCTGGGATGCACACAAGAGGGGAGAAAACACCGTTAGCAAAGATAGGAGTCACAAAGCAAATCAGCATTCTCACAGATATTAGAGCCTAGTGTGATGTTTTCAGGGAATTCCTAGGTCACATTTGGTAGTTTATGCATTATTTTATTGACCCATCCAGTACTCCAAAATGTGTTCTCAAAATATTTCTGCATCTTATTTGTACTTTATAGAAATCTTTAGGGGTCTTCCATGGTGCTGATAACACCAAGCAAGGTTAAGGATTCGGATCCCCATACCAGCCTGCTGTCAAAAAAATAAAAAATTTAAAAATTTAAAAAAGAAAGAAAGAAAGGAAAGGAAAAAGAAACCATTAGAGCTCTTGGGTCTAAGGACTAATAACTAAGATTGTGTCTTAAAGAGTATGCCCTTTAACCATCAGAACAGAAGGTACAGCACTTTACCATGCAATCTTTTCTCTTTACTGTTAGGCACTGCTGAAATATATCACCACTAGTCTTCATCAGGATATTTACCTTTTTAAAGTTTTGCATTAATTAGCCTTGACGATTACACTATAACTGAAGTCAGCATTGATTTATGACAAGCAAAGACATACTCATGGCCCTGAAAGATAAGGACAAGAAATTCAATTTTCCCCCTTACTGAAGGACCCTCCTTGCCTTCTGTCTCTCCTGGGACTTTTTGATTTATTAATTATTTCACCCTCCTTTTCCTAAAATTTCGATCAATCCTTCTCAACAAAGTACTCCCTCTAGAGGAAGAAAGACAGAAGGGAAATATTTGAGTGCTGATCGTGGTGCATTGAAAACTTTCTATGTGACGTGTTTCTTCTTTACACCTCTTCCAGGTGTCCCTGAGTATATCAGCGTGGGTCTGTGTCTACCAAGCTCACTGTACAATCACGCTTACGTTCTGCCATGGTGGGATGGGATCAGTAGGGTCAGGAGCACAGCACCAGACACAGCGCCTTACGAACACTAGTTTCACAATACAGATTTGCTGGAAGAACAAATGAATGAGTCCTTTTCAAAGACACTCATCAGCAATTACTATGCTCTCTGTATGTCCTTTGGTGTTTGGCAGTTAACTGGCACTGAATTTTGTTCACCTTCATCTAGAGCGACCGACCAGCCCAGGGCTCCTGAGTCTGAGGGGTTTCCTGGACCGCAGAACTTTCCGTTTTAAAACTGGGAAAGTCCCACACAAAGCAGGGATGTTGGACGGTCACCCTACCTTCTCGGTGCTGGCTTTGTACTTTTCTTTAGTTTTCATCACTGGTTCCCATTGCTTTCAAAGTGTTTGTAGATCACAGACTGTGTAGTCCATGATAAAAAGGAAAAAAGATGTGTGTGAAATATGTGTGTTATGGTGGTTCCCAAAGTAGGGCCCCCAGACCAGCAGCATCAGCGTCATTTGAGAACTTCTTAGAAATGCAGTTTTCAGGTCCCACCCCACACCTACTAAATCAGAAACCCTGGGGGCTGGGAACCAGGAGTTTGTTCTAGCAAGCCCTCCAGGGGATTCCGATGCACATCAAAGTTTGAGAACCACTGCAGGGAGGAACCCTGCTGTTGAGTTCTAGGCCCAGTTCTGGCACTGACTCACTAACTGACTTGAGGCATGTCCCTTTCCTATTCTGAGCGTTCGTTGCCTTTCTGTGAAATGAAAGCCTTGGACTAGGCGGCATCTAAAGGCTCTGCCACTCTGTAGTTGGGCAACTTTGGTCATTTTGTTTGACCTCTCATTGCTTAAGCTTTCTCATGTGGGTACAGTAAGGAAGTGAGATACTTTGCAGAGTTTTCTAACAATTTTGCGATTATTAAATAAGATGTTTGCAGCACATATCGGTGACCAACAATAATAGCTAAGTCTTCCATAGTGCTGTCCATGTGCCAGACACTGTTCTAAGTCCCTTTAATTCCCACAAGAACCCTGTCCCCATTTTACAAACAAAAAATAGAGGCAAGGACAGATTAAGAGTCTTGCCCAAGGTCACACAGCTAAATAAGCGTCAGAGTTTGGATCAGGACCCTGAAAATCTGGCCGCAGAGACAATGCTTTTACTAGTATGCCATGTTGCTCAATAAATGTTAGTCCCTCGCCCTTTCCACACTTACACAGTCTAGCTGACCATTCACGCACAATAACCGCCATTCCCGCCCTCACAGTCCGCCCAACAGGATCTTAAAAGAACCACGAGACTATGTAGATTAGTTTTGCAAATAGTTTGCAAACATTTTTTAAAATGTCACTTTCTTGTTTTTTCTGGCAGCTGGATGGTGTGGGGACTCGAACCCGTGACCTTGGTGTCACAAGGCTGTGCTCTAACCAACTGAGCTAAACCAGCCAGCTCTCAAAAGATCATTTTCTAAGGCATATATTTTGCCTCTTCCAAAAGTGGGAGTTTGATGATGGAAGGAAATCAACCTATTGAGCCTTTTCTCTCCTTAAGGACTCTTGCAAAATCCTAGTCGGTTGTTAGGATCAAAACCATTTTGCTGGACGTATTCATATCACTGGTCCCGGGGTGCTCTTGGGCATATTGGAGATCCACACACAGAGCCAACCGGTGGCTTAGCTTGGCTCCTAGTTCGGAGTACAGACCGTGTCTGTGTCCTCACCTCCCTAAGCCTGCAGCTCATCAGAGCCAAAGACCCTGGCAGAATTTGGCAGTAGCTCTTTCTTTGTCAGACTTACAGCCAGGAGTTGGTGGGCTTGTGGGTAGCCTAGTCCTTGGCTTTAAGCAGTGAGCCTGGATTTTGTCCCTCATCTTGCTCAGAGCACTTTCAGAGGACTGCTGTACCTCGCGGGAGCTTAACTTCTGGCTACTATGGTTCGCTGCCAGACGAGCAAGCCTTGCCACTTCAACATGGAGACATCTTTTTTTCCTTCTTCTTCTTTTTTTTTTTTTTTTTGCCTTGGCCACGCTGTTTTGAGTTTACCGTTTTATATTCCGTTCGTCATTGCCACGTTTTGGAGCAGCAGGCTTTCCATAGCATAAACTAGCTGTACCACCTTAAGGAGGAAGCCAGTGGAAATCTTTCCCACGTGCATTTTACACTCCCCTGATTCCCTAAATTGGGTTTACAAAATATGACTGCACACTTTCTCTTTCTCTCTCTCTTTTTTTAAACTTATTTTTTTTCAGTGGACATGTTTGTGGGGTACAGTTTCTTGTTTCAATACACGCGTATATTGTATAATGACCTAACCAGAATGGTTAGCATGTCTATCACCCACGGGTGTAGCATTTCTCTGTAGCGATAACATTCGAGGTCCTCTTTTCTGGCTATCTTGAAATCCACAGTACAATATTATTGGCTATCGTCATCCTAGAGCAGCAGAGCTTATTCTTCCTGTCTAACTGTGACTCTGTAACTTTGCACCAGTCACCAGGC